CCCCAAAACCCCAAAACCCCAAAACCCCAAAACCCCAAAACCCCAAAACCCCATTTTAGATATAATTTATTGAAATTTTTACTACCCAGCCTTGACTCTTCTAAGATGCACTCAATGATCTCTGGAGTTTGTGAAGAGTTTCAAGTTTCTTCTGGTTTTCGAGGGCTTCGACGAGCTTCTTCAGTTTTTCGTTTTCTTGTTGCTGCAGGTCGATTGTCTGGATCGCGTCTGGAGATATTACCATTTAAGGTCTTACCGAGGTATTTGTTCTTATCAACATAGTTGAAAGATAAGGTAGAGGTAAGTTCACCTTCCCTTTCTTTTAGTGTAGAAATGGTGTTTTCACAAGTCTCGTTCATTCTTCTGAGATCATCATTAGCTATAGATTGGACAAGGATTGTTACTTTCTTTGAGCTTCTCAATCCTATTGACAACCTTGATATTCTCCTTGTACATGCCTGTAGAGCTTTTGTTTCTAGCCTTGAGACCGTCGATGATGCTTTGAAGTCTCCTGTTTTCTTTATTAATATAGTCAAGCTGGCCATTAAGTTTAGCGATGGTTTCTTTGTTGTCTTTCTCATAGAAGGCAGTCTGAGTAACAGTCTCTTCACCAGTGTAGAGGTTGTTGAGACGAGAGATCTCCCTATCTCTTTGGATAATCATGCTTTCAAGATCTTTTATCCTGCTTTCAGTGTCGTCCTTAAACTGTTTGTAAGCCTCAAGCTCTTTCGTCATAATCTATTTGTCAAGAGAATGGAGTACCTGGACTCTTTCGTCAGCTTCACAGATTTGGTTGATGAGGTTCTCTTCTTCAGCGGTCTCAATCTCTCTATTTGTCTGTCTTTCGAGCATGTAGGTGAGCTCCATGTTTTGTTTTGTGCCTAAAGTATGTTTATGAGGGCAAAAAAGGGTGAGTACCTATATCATCTCCATCTTCGGGCTGGACAAAAGCTGAAACAACTTGTTTTACATTTGGTTTATAAGCTTTCGACATTACATTATCAAGTCTCTCCTCCAGCTTGAGGTTGCGTTTCTTGAGGCTGTTTATCTCAAAATTTTTGGCAAGCGAAGCTTGCTTGATGTCATTATATTCAGACTCAAGTTGTTTGAACTGTCTTTGCCAATTATTATCATTTTGGGAGAGATTTTCTTTCACTTGAATCATTTCCTTATGCAGAGCGTTATTTTCCTTGACTATTCGAGCATTGTCCTTTTTAAGAGGGATCAAGGCAATCTGTTCCTTTCGAATTTGAGATTCCGCAGATTCAAGCTGTACCTTCGTTCTCTGGTAGAGCTCTGTAGTTGCAAGGAGGTCTCCCAGCATTTTCTCTATGAGAGGGCAGCTTTCCTTTGAAAGCGGTTGTGAATAATGTAAGCAGCTCAATTTGTTTCTGAGGGCTACGAACTTCTTGTTATCTGCCATATCCCGCTATTTAAATTTTTTAAATTATGAAATTCAAAATTAAATAAATAAAAGGGGTTTTGGGGTTTTGGGGTTTTGGGG